ATGCTGGGTTCCCCACACGCCACTGCAGGCCATGTGGGCAAAGGTGGTATGGTTTCTGCCTGGTCCAGCTGCATGCCAGGGACTCAGGGCGATGGGTATGGTGCCTGAGAGGGGGTACAGAGGGTTGGGAGCTGCAAGTTATCCAGGCCTGACCACATTGGTACCATGCTGTGTTCCCCTCTTCTCCCTGAATCTCCTTCCCTGCCCCGAGTCCCCAGCACATGGCCAAGTCAGCAGGAGCCACTCCCCATCTGTGCCCACGTGGACTGAAGCAGCACACACAGCACAGCACCAGCCTGGCCTGGCCATGTGCCAGAGACTTGGGGGTGCAGTGAGAAGGGGGGAAAACAAAAGTTAGGTTTTCCTAAAACCCAGGGGTGGGCAATTATTTGGGCCAGAGGACTACTTCGGGAATTTTGGTGAGCTGTTGCAGGGGCCAGGGAGGAAAGGGTGCCGACCCAGCCTGTGACAGCTCAGAAAAACTCCCAAAGTAAGCTCACCAAAAAAACTCCTAAAGCTCCCTCCAACTGTTGCTCTTCGTAACACAGTCTAGACACTGCTACTTCTGTGGGCTACTTAACCTACATCTTTCACATGAGACTTTGGTCTTAGATAATTTTTGTGTTTCACTCAGAGAAAAAGAAGAACAGGAAAAATGTGTGCATGTGCATACACACACTGTATCTTTGTATATCCGACAGAAAGGCAGATGTACAAAATTAGATATACAAAATTATACCTTGGTATAATACACATCTATATCTAACTATATATACAGATCCATCTATCTATAAAAATAGTAAAGTCACCTCTTGAAGGAAAGTTGAGGACCATCCCTACTCCTAACCTTGGGGCATGAGAGACCTAAGAAAATGCTGCAGTACACTACAGAGGGCCAATAATGTCACCGATAAATGCCTTGTACACATACAGTCAGAAACGCAGCCCGGCAGCTTGGAGAACAGAGTCCAGCCAGTAAGGGGGGGGGGGGTGCAGACTGAGACCCCCATGGTGAGGGAGCAAGTGGGGCAGGGGCAGGCACTGCCCAGGCAAGCCAAGCCAGGGCAGGGTGTGGGATGAAGCCACAGGTAGCTTGTCCAGGGACTGGCTCCCGCTGCTGCGCACACCCCTGGAGGGAGACATGCCCCCTGGATAAGTGCATAGGGTGAGGATGGGCTGCCTGCTGCAGGCTGGATACATGCAGCGGTGGGAGTCGCCCCCCTCCCCACCTCCTCTAGACAAATCACCCACAGCTCCGTCCCACACCCTGCCCCAGCCCCACTCCCTCCCTTACTGTGGGGACCTCAATCACCTCCCCTCCCCTCCCACGTCCCTTCCCTCCTCCATCTCCCTTCCCCCAGAGACTTACCGGCTGGATGCTGCTCTCCAAGCTGCCGGGCTCCATATCAGCAATCGGATGAGTATTGGCCAATGTGGCTGGTTAATAATCAGCCATTGGTATTGGCCAAAAAAATCATTATCGGTGCACCCCTAATCATAATATTTATTCTCTTAGAGTAAAAGTCATATGCAAAATTTAACAGCTTAGTTTCTGGCTAAAATTGGCTTTTACAAAACCATCAAGATTCCTTCAATTGTTTTTTAATTCATTGAACAAGAAAAAACACTTTCCCCCTCCAACTGTTAACAAAAAGATTGGAAACCTTTCGTCAGAAGGATAATAGCCACCAAGTTCTTTAGTTCAGATTTTTACTTACACTAGACCAAAACAAACAAAATGTAGGTTTTGCGAATTTTGCAAAAGTTGATTTGGAGCAACAGAAATCTAATACTGGTTTGAAACCCAGGGCTATGTAAGTGCAGCAGTAAAATTCTGCTATGCTATTAGTGTGACAAACAAATAGACAAGTCAGTGAGCTGCACAGCTACTTGCTCACAGAAATATACAAGCCCAAGTATTGAAACAGCAGACTACAAATTCAAAAATCAAGGGATACTTAACGAGGATTAGCAGAATCGCTAAAGTGCAGGAAGGTGATTAGCATGTCAAAGATTTAAGATCCACAATCTCATCATCCCTACACTAAGAAGCTGAAAACACTTCTACCAAACCTTATCAGCTGCCATAGATTAACAGATTTATCATAAAAGGTTATTAGAGCCACAAGCTTCATATGAATTAAGAAACTTTCAAGTCGCTTAAGTCAGATATCCTCTGATTTAACTATCTGCCCTGAACCTACATCCTTAAAATAAATGGAACTAGCATTAGTGCCCAGAGTATCTTGTAAAATAAAGCAGTTAAAGTATGCACATTCCTTTAGGAATGTATTTTCTCCCAGAATCAAACCACAGGTACAGCGCTCATATATTTTCCCACTGAAAAATAAAACTCCTCAGATTCTTTGAAAGCCAAGTCTCATCGTCAAAGATTCGGGTTTTCTGATTGCTGTGGAAACACATGGATTTTCTCCTTGAAAGGAGAAAAACGTGGGAAACCAGGGGTATCCCCCTGCAGGCTGCCACAGTTCCAGCCTGCAAGGGGCTGTGGGGAGTGGGATCTGCCTGGGCATGCATGCACATGTCCAGTAACAACACAGCCAGGTAGCGGAGGAACTGTAGGCAAGTCGGGGGGGGGGGGGGGGGGGGAAGGACACAACACAGGACTGAGGTAGTGGCAGCAGTCATGGTGAGGGAGAGTGGGGCAAGGCTGGTAGAAGTAAGGCATGTGGGGGGGCACATACCCCTCCAGATTTGTGCACCCACAGTGGGGCATGGGGCTGTGCCTCCGCCATGACAGCGCAGCTGGCACAGGACTCCCAGCAGCAGTATCACTGAGTCTTCCCACCCTGCCCCACCCCCCCATAGCAGGTCTTGCTCATTGGGGCATGGAGGCCCCCGGGGTGAGGGTGGCAGGTCAGGGAGCCTGCATCTACCACAACCCCACATGGGCTCTGCTGGGCTCCACGCTGGCCATGCTGCCTGTGGGGGCAAGCCTAGGCTCTGTCCCCACTCTGGCTGCAGCAGCCACCACCTCCCATGCACAGCAGCTGGGGCTCAGAAGCCGCTGGCCAGTTGTAACTGGCAACTGTGGAGCAGGGAGCGGGCAGGATGCAGCCACCAGGTCCTGCAGCCCTGGCAGCTGGGGGCCCCCCTTCAGCAAGGCTGAATGGGGAGCCACAGGTTGGGAGTGAGAGGCACCGGCAGGACTGGGGGGCTGTGGGACTGATGAGCAACAGCATGGGCAGGGCACCAGCCTAACAGGGCTGTTAAAAACCACAAAGCAGCAAGGGGGAGGGGGAACAGCTGCAGCTGGACCCACATCCTGGTGAGCAAGGGGGGCAGGGGGAGCTCTGATTTAATTAAAAAAAAACAAACCAAAAATCAAACACCAAAACAGGTAGGTGTTTAGAATTTATTATTATAATGGACTGAGGTGCTGGTAGGCTTCCAAAATTGGTTTTAATTATATCAATAAAACATAGTGTTCAACTAATACATATGTATATACGTATGTATACTGGTGTTTAAATTTAGTTGTAGAAAAAAAAAACCCAAAAACCAGATTTTGGGCATTTTAATTGGTGAATTTTGGTGGGCTCTTTTTTTTTTTTTTTTTTTTTAAATCAGAGAATTTGGGATTTCTAAACATAGAAAACCAGGATCCCTGTATCCGCTATGTACAATACAGACAAGTCATTGGTACAGAAGAATCTATAGACTGAATTCAGAGTAAACAGGTTTAAGTTAATAACTAGAAGCACCTAACAACAAAAAATGAGCTTCACTTACCTTTTGGAGGGTACTGAATTTCTATAATTTTATTTCTTACTCTTGTACATTAAATCTAGCATGCATCCCTGACACTTGCAGACATTCCCCAGCCCCAGCGCAAATTGTATTTAAATATTGCATTTAGTCAAGTGTCTACCAAAAAAAAAAAAAAAAAGCAAGAAATTCTTATAAACTGGATTGTACCTGCAACTTTGTCCCGAATAAGTTTTGCAGATTCAACTTCGCCAATACTGCTAAATAGACTCCGTAACTCATCCTGCGTCATGTTCTGAGGGAGGTAGTTCACAATTAAGTTTGTTCTACCAATATCATCCCTGCAATCTTCAGCCATGTGATCTTCATAACCATTAGACATTTTATGAAATATCTGAAAAAGAAAAAAATCTCAAATAAGTTCTACATCGTTGTTTTGTAACCAAACAAACTTTATCCACCCACAATGCTGATAAGTTTTATTTTTATGAAACAATTCAGTTTGTATCTATGCATTCCCTTTCTTCTTTAAGGAACAAAACACCAGTGTTTAAAAATTCCATGACATTTAATTCTCTCAAGCAGATAAAACTGCCATTTAAGAAAAAACAAACCCTGAACAATTAAAGGACCCTGCACTTAAATGGAAAGAGCTAAAACAGATTTAAAGTATATTTAAAATTACATACACAGCATATAAAAGAGAATTAAGATGCAAAGTTAAGCACTTGGATTTAGAAAATGCCAGAAGTGTAGCTGCTCCTGCAATTGCAATTCAGGCCCATGGTTAAATGCATTGGGACAGCCACATTATATATGAATTTTATGGCTATATTCCAACCTCTGCCAGCTCTCCTACACAACAATTAGGAATTTGGCTTCCCAGCAGTCCTAGGTTTCTATTTCTAGTCAAGAGGAAAACTTGTGTATGGTTAAAGAGTCAAGCCAAGCACAGACATCTGCCACATTCGTTTGTAAAGGCAGTGCAACTAGATGGTCAAGGCTTGATCTCCTATTAGAGCAATGCTTTGGACACAGGGAATTCTCAGGGTAAGAATCACTGTATTAGCTAGAAGTGGCCTTGTTCAATGCTTTATTTGAAGGCTACAATACTTTAATAATTTCCAACAACCCTGTGAAATACACAGGAACACCACAAGCCAAAGGAAGAACTGGAACTTCTGTCCTCTTGATTCTCAGCCTAGTACGGCTTCCCCATGCCAAGAGCTGCAGAAGTTCTTGCTGTACCACTTACTTGAACCCAAGATGCACACATAAGGACTTAAAAAAAAAAAGAGGGGGAATGACGCATGAATTTTCTTAATTAAGTAGATACCACTGAAAACTGGTGCGCTACCAGGAATCCATCATATCTGGCCAAACAGTTTTTTTAAGTTGTATGTCTGTTACCATATTTAGTATTAATTGAAGTTAAATAAAGAAATAAATAAATTAAATGAATTAAAGTTAATTACCACTCTCAATTTACTAAGTCACTCCTACCTTCAGTAATGAAATAAAATCTGTTACCTTCAGAGAAACTTTTAGTCACTGTATTTTAGTCCCCACATTCTCTTATAGCACCATTCATACTTGAAAAAAACCAACAACAAATAAACCAAAGAAAACCCACGTATAACATTTTAAAAGTTCCATACACTGTGTTAAAATGTAACTGGAGTTGTGGATGGAAGTATAAATAAACCACAGCATTAAACACAAGAATCCTCAGGAAAGGACAACTGAAGTTAAAGAAAAAAAATCCAAAAAACTTAAAACCCTACATTTTGGAAGGTCAAGAGATGCAGTTGCCTACTCTATTCTCACAGCATCCCATCCACAACAATGTTATGCCTATAATTTGTTAATATTGAAGATATATGATGTAAACTGCACGTGACCATGGAATCCGAGTTCTCTGACCGAGGACACTGGACAGGCAAGACAAGGGAACCCGCACACGTTACAGTCCACTAATACAACAGCAGACTAGTTTTTCAACTCATTCTCCACTGATAAGAACAGCAAAATCAACCCTACACCTCAAACTTCACACTAACTACAATGCCTTAATTCCTTAACAAATGAACACCCCCAAGGCTAGTACTAGAAGTATTAAATTATTTTATCCAGTAAGATTTTTTCCTATAATTTACCAGCATGCCCACTTCCATGTACACTACTCATTTGGGTGTCTATAGCCACAGCAATAGTCTCTGAATTGTTAATAACAGTTAGGCAATAGGGGTGCACAAGAGAGATTTTTGGGGCTGATGCCGCTTGCCTATTTTTAAGGAGGCATATAGACCGATACTGCTGCCGGGCTGCGATTTCTTATACGCAGCCCGGCAGCTTGAAGAGCAGCGTCTGGCTGGTAAGTCTGTTGGGGTGGAAGGGGAGGAGGAAGGGAACGGGTATGGGGTCAGATCAAGACACTTGAGGTGAAGGAGGGAGTGGGGCTGGAGCCACGCCTTGTCCAGGGGGGTGCAGGGCAATGGGAGCAGCTCCTGCTGCTGCATGCACCCTAGGAGAGCAGTGGCGGCAGGGGGTGGCGGCCAGCACGTGCAACATCAGATCTGCATGGGGCAGGGTGGGCTGGGGCCAGGGCTGTGTTGTGCTCTTCCCGGCAGGGGCTGGGCTGGGCTGCGCTCAGGGCGGGTGGCAGCGGCACTGGGAGGGAGAGGACATGGGCTGTAGCTGCCCTGACCCCCCTCCCCCGCCCGGCCCCAGCCCACCCCGTGCAGATTCAGGGGCACATGCCTGTAAGTGCACGCAGTAGCAGGAGCCGTCCCCATCTCCCCACGCCCCCCGACAAGCTGCGGCTGTCCCACATCCTGCCTCAGCAGGGCAGCACAGCACCTGCCCCAGCCTCACTCCCTCCCTCACCCCACGCCCCTTTCATCCCCTCTCCCCTTCCACCACAACAGACTTGCCAGCTGGATGCAGCTCTCCATGCTGCCAGGCTGCGCTCCTTGCCAACTATGTGCTGTGCTGTGGCTGTACGCATGCACAGGCCATTTATCGGCCACATCAGGCCAGTTTCCAATAGTCAACTTTCTTTATATCAGTGCTGATTTGACACAGGACCAATGTATTGGTGCATCTCTATTAGACAAGCCTACTTTTCACTAACCTTAATCCAGATTCAAGTCTCTGCTACTCCAAAATGTTTTAAGATTAATGCTTTAATGTGTCAAACCATAGAACTCGCTTCTGAAAGAGATTAGTACTATATAAATATCAAGCTAAATATAAAATTTGCTCTGACCTAGCTTTCCAGCCATACCCCCACAAAAATATGGAGATCACTACTGACACTAGGACAACGTGTTACGTTTGCTTTACTGAATCTGCAAAAAAATTCAGAAATGAGTAATAGACCCAGTCAGAGATAACCCGAGCAAGATGCAGGGCCCAGGACAAATCAGCCTGTGTGGGGCCCTGCCCCCAGACACAAGGAAGCCAGCGGTGGGATTCGGCAGAGGAGGGAGGGGTGACCGGCGAGACATGAAGCAAGCGGCAACATGGAGTTGTCACAGTCGCACCGCGGGGCCCCCCCGAAGTGCAGGGCCTGGGGCAGTCGCCCTGATTCTGCTGCCTAGGGACGGCCGGGACCCAGTAACAATATCTAGCTGTAGGGGTGCACTGATAAAGATTTTCTTGGTCGATACTGATAGCCAATTATTAACCAACCATATCAGCCAATACTGATCCAATAGCAGATTTATAGGAATACAGCCAGGCAACTTGGAGAGCAGTGTCCTGGTGGTAAGTCTGTGGTTGGGGAAGGAGC